GTGAGCAAAGGAATATTACTCTGTTTCTATTCCTTTGATTATAAATAACTAGTGCTCCTACAAATAAAAAAGAGAGAGAGAGAGAGAGAGAGAGAGAGAGAGAGAGAGAGAGAGAAACAAGTCCCAAATCCATAGGGCAGGCTGAAACTCAGGCTAAAGTTGATACCATAAGCCAACCAGCAGGCTGGGCGCTCAGGCAGTGTTTCTATGCTACTGTCTTGAGGCAGGACTCTGTGTTCTTCAGGAAACCTCAGTTTTTGCTCTTCAGGCATTCAGTTAATTGGATGAGGTTCACCTACTGGTACATTATCAAGAGCAATCTCCCATACTTAACACATTGCGCACCAGTGGTTTTATTGCTAGCTTTACCCAGGGGCCAGATAAGTTTCTATTGGATGAGCACAGAAAAACGTGTTACATGAATGTTAAAGGCACAAAAAAGGACAAAATGAAAGAACCTGGAAGGAATTTTGGGTATAGAGCTTTACAGACTACAAAGATTAAAAAGAAATTGTGATAGGAATTGGTGGTGTCATATTTCTAATTCTCTTAAAACTTGGGGACCTGAGTTTGACTTTCAGACATGTTTTAGGAACACATTACGTATAACAGTAGAAGATTATCTGTGAAGGGAAAGAAAATAACCTCTCCACTGGCTGCTTGAGTGTCCTCCTGACATGGCAGCCAGTGCTCCCAGGACAGTGATCCAAGAGCAAAGCAAGGAGGAAGTCATGATCCTTCTGTGATGTGGTCTCTGAAGTATAACACTCATGCTTCTGTCATATTCTACTTGTTAGATCCACTAAGTACAGCGCACAAATAAAGGAGCTAGGCCAACTTTTCAATAGAGGAGTATCGAAAATACATGGACATGTTTTAAAACCACTGTAGTCTGCCCTCGTACCACAAAGTACTTGCATTCCTCTCATGTTTAAACTAAATCCAAAGGGAGAGTAGCTTTACCCAGGGGCCAGATAAGTTTCTATTGGATGAGCACAGAGAACGTTTACATAAATGCTAAAGGCACGCTTTAAAATTACATACCCATTGCACTTTGAAGTTATTTATTACATGTTCTTACAAGCGAATATCTTTTTTTAAAATATGATACTTTGTAAAACACTGTGTAATATGAAGTGGAACTAAACAAAGCTGGCAAATTCTCGTGATCTGTCCACAATGTTTTAAAATAAATTGATTGGAAATATTAATAACATCTACAAATATCTTCACAGTAATACTTAGACTACTGTTTGGCCAACAACAGGGTGCCATAACCTAACCAAGTTGATATATAAAATTATCACGCCGTCTCAAATGTCACTCTATGAAGTCTAAATAAGATGCGATTCATTCATTCAATTCAATCAAGAGGCATTTAAGTACCTACTCCAGGCAAAGCATTGTGCTAGGAGTGCTCACAGAACTCAGAATAACAGTTTGCTGTTACCATATAAAGGATATAGATGAACACCTGGATGGAAGATATTTGCAGGGCCAAGTATGTGAGGATACATATCTCCCATGCCATCTCTGGGCACATCACTCTTCCTGCTCCTCTCTCCACATGTTCACCAAGCTGGAAGATCTCTGAACCCAGTCCTTTTGGGTATTTATGGAGCCTCATTACACAAACATGATTGACTAAATCATTGGCCATTGGTAACTGAACTCAATCTCTAGCCCCTCTAACCGCCCTAGAAGTCTAGCGTGGGGCTGAAAGTTCCAACCCTCTTCCTTAGGTTACCTAGGGGCTTTCTAGAAATCATCTAAACCCAGCCTGTGTAGCTCAGTGGTTGAGTGTTGACCAATGAAGCAGAAGGTCACGGGTTCAATTCCCTATCAGGGCATGTGCCCAGGGTTGCGGGCTCGATCCCCAGTCGGGGGTGTTCAGGAGACAGCAGATCAATGATTCTCTCATCATCATTGATGTTTCTATCTCTATCCCCCTCCCTTCCTCTCTCTGAAACCAATAAAAATAAATCACCTAACCCTACCAGTTTGGCTCAGTGGATAGAGCATCGGCCTGTGGACTCAAGGGTCCCCGGTTTGATTCCAATCAAGGGCATGTACCTTGGTTGCGGGCACATCCCCAGTGGGGGGTATGCAGGAGGCAGCTAATCAATGTTTCTCTCTATCCCTCTCCCTTCCTCTCTGTAAACAAAATCAATAAAATATATTTTAAATAAATAAATAAATCACCTAATTAACAATAATCTAATGACTTAGAAATTCTAAGGGTTTTGGGAGCTCTGTACCAGAAAGGGGATGAAGACTAAAAATGTATTTATTATAAATCACAGTATCACAGTCTCACCGCCCCAAATTAATTCTGACCCCTGCAGTAAAAAAGCTGATTTTCCTGCCCAGCCCCAGGTTGGTAAAGCCACAATTCTCACTGGCCACATAGGGTGTGGGAGCATTCCCAGGCAAGAAGGCCACATATTCCTGCCATTTTTACCCAAAGCTTTAGCAGTTACTCAAGCATAAACCCTTTTATTTTATTTTTCCCATCACCCTTAATCCCCTCTATGCCTTCTTCTCTCTGTGTGCCCCCTGAGCCCCCCCACCACCATCATCACCACACCAAGCATAAACACTCTTGATCTGTTTTGTCTTAATTGCCTTGCCAGTCAGCTTCCAGTGTCCTTAAACTGCTGTTTGTGACAATTTTGTCCAGTTTTATATTTATTTTGTGTGGAGAGAGGAATTGGCCAACCTCTCTCTTCATACCACCATTAACAGAAGGCCCACGTTATATATTGCCTTAGCAATGCAATATCTTCTGTATATAATAAAAAAATAACTCAAATTAAATTAAGAAAGATAACTGTTAATGGTCCACGCTCTTATGTCTATATTGCCGGTTTAGTATAATACAGCACTTTAAATTATTTTTAAAAGATCATAATTTAAAATCAGGTACATTTTTCATTGCAAGTTCCATGACAGTTGCTGAAACATCTTTGAAGACTTTCCCAGTACAGAAGGTCTAATGGGCACTGACAATATCCCAAAGGAGGTATATGTCCACAGATTTGCTAATTAGTCAACTTCTATACTTTCAGCAAGCTGAAGTTGCGATTTCCTAGGATGGAGCATATCATAAACTCACCCCATAGGAGAAATTACTTAATTCACCATATTGGCTCATATATTACCCCACTCTCCTTACTCAGATTACTCTAGTATATTATAAAGTTAGTAAAAAATGTCCAAATAATTTCAAGCTAGATAACTTTTGCTTTTTTCTTCTTTGAAACAGCAGAGGCTCTTCTCAGTTTCTCTAAAAGAAGAACATTTTCAGGGATGAAAATATTTTGAAACCATCCAATGGAAGCTGAAGGAAGTTGGAAGAAGGATGGGGAGTCTATTGGCATAATGCAGCTTACAAATATATATTTCCATTACATGTACATATAATGATAATCTAAATTCCTTCTAAAGAGCATTTCAATGTTTCACTATTATAAACAGTGCAATACATGAACATTCCTAAGAAGACTCTCAGTATACCAGTGAAAATATATCTCTAAGATATATATTTAGAACATCATAGGCTATGAGAATCCTTGCCTTTACTAAATAATTCTGAATTGTGATTGTTCCCATTTGCGTGGCATACCAGCATTAGAGTTTTCTTTTTCACCCTTTTGATATTGTGAGATTTATTAAATTTTATCATTTTATGGCTATGCAAATAAAGTCGCATGGTTGTTTTAATTAGGATTCCCTTAAATGTTAATGAGATTGAGCATCTTTCCAAATGTTTATTTGTCATTCTTTTGAGGGGACAAAAGAGGGAAGAGCGACAGACAGAAATAGTGGGAGGAGGGGTAAAGAAAGGAGAGAAATGTGAATATAAGGCAAAATAGCACTTGTTAATTTTGGATGGTAGATGCATGGGTTTTGTTGACTTATTTTCATTTAATTTCAGTATGTTTAAAATAACACCAAAATTTCAGAAAACCATCATGTTTAAACCAAATTGAACTTTGAATTAGTTCCTCACATTTCAGGTATTGAGGGCTCTGTGGTGGTTTTTAACAATAATCCTGCATCACAAATCAACTCAGAAGATAGAAGCACTTACTCGAAGGCCAGAGATCCTCCTCATGGTAACTTGGCGGTTTGAATCATGGTGCCCAGAAAGTTGGTTTGGACTCGGGAACATGAAGTCTCGTGTATTTTCCTCATATGTAGACAGTGTTTCACCCACTACAAGAAAGATATCCTGTGATTCAAATTATAACAAAATATTCTATTTAGAAACCAAATTATCAGGTACAATATATAAATGCCTGACGCCTTACTCAAATACCTGCTTCAGGGTCATAGTTTTATTCTTTGAAAAGAAAATTAAAGTTATGTTCAATAGATTAACACATTTCCTTATTCAGATATGCAGCACATATTACTAATTATCCCTATCCCCTTTTGTAGAAGGGAGACTATTCATCTAAATTTAATGAGTACCTGTGGGTTCCTTAGAAAAAGAAGCTTTGTAAATGTATCAAGTTGCCATGACATTCACAGATCTGGAATTTAATTACAATCTTTACAATTTTTTCTATCTTCCATTCTTTTCTACCTGCCACTGTAAGTTATTAGATTACATATTGAAAAAATATATATAGACATTTTCTAGAATTTGTTATTATCTGAATTAGGTATATATTTAATGTTCAAATTTTTTCAAGTAACTAGTTTTCAATAAAATACAGTTTTCTATTTTTCACATAAATAAGTACTTGATTAAGACAGATTTCTTCTATAATTATAGATATCAATAATAGAAATAAAACTATCCTCCATATTGTAACTCTACCTATTCTAGGGATTTGTAATGTTTGCTAAATAGGTAAGGTTTTATTTCCCTCAATTCCCAATAGCAGTCAATAAATAAAAACAGATATCTATCAAAAAAGCATATAGTTTTAGAAAAATCACAAAAACCTAACAATTTTTATGAAAGTCACAAAATATACTAGAATAATATCAGTATTTTTTTTCTTTGCTTTCAATTATTACTACTTATTCAATTTTATACATAGTGGACCAATACTAGAAACTCAACATTGTTCTTAATTTGGGAAGAAGGGAAAAATATGAGATATTTAAAAAGCATTTCATTGAAATGGGCTCACATGTCGATTACCTTATCAAATATAATACAGTACCTGGTGGAACTAGTTGAATCAACTCAAACAATGCTGTATCATCTGAAAGTTTAACAAACAAATAACAAACAAACGTTAGTTGCTTTACTTTAGAAGTATCCAAAAGACAAAGTAATTGCTGGGTGGACTACGTGTGTGTGTGTGTGTGTGTGTGTGTGTGTGTGTGTCTGTACACACTATATATATATATTGTTGATATGTTTCTTGTGGCTTTACTAATCTATAGTAGAGAATAACCCTCCACCCTCTGTGGGGTTTTCTTTCTGATTCTTTTAAGGCTTTATTTTTTTTTAGTGTAGTCCTACTTTTACAACACAATTGACAGGGAGGTACAGAGATTTCCCATATATTCCCAGCCCCCACACATGCATAGCCTCCCCCATCATCAACATCACTCACAGGAATAGTACGTTTTGTTTTTTACCAAGGATGAACCTACACTGCCATATCATAATCGCCCAAAGTCCACAGTTTGCCGTATTGTTTACTCCTTGTGGCATATATTCTGTGGGTTTGGACAAATGTATAATGACATATTTCCATCATTATAAATAATACTAGAGGCCCAGTGCACAAAATTTGTGCAATGGGGGGCGGGGGGGCGCGCCTCAGCCTGGGCTACGCCCTATTGCAATCTGGGAGCCCTCAGGGAAGCAGGCCTAAGCTGTCAGTTGGACATCCTTAATGTTGCCACAAAGGCAGGAGAGGTTCCCACCACCACCTCTACGCTCACCAGCTGTGAGCCCAGCTCAGGGCTTCTGGCTGAGCAGCGCTTCCCCTGTGGGAGCAAACTGACCACCAGGTGGAAGCTCCTGAGTTGAGCATCTGCCCCCCTGGTGATCAGTGCACATCATAGTGACTGGTTATTCTGGCGTTTGATCAATTTGCATATTAGCCTTTTATTATATAGGATAATTCATAGTATTTTCATCGCCTTGAAAAATCCTCTGTTCTCTCATAGCTTTTAATAATCTCATGAAGTAGAGGAACACAAATCGGAGTACCAAGGCCTTGGGAAGAGAGAGGAGAGACAATGGCCTGATTAACTAGCTAGACTATAGAACTGGATCTTGAAAAGATAAACTGCAAGAGTAAAGAGTAAACTAAAAATAGTTATGTACTGAATGTTTGTAGTCCCTAAAATTCATATGCTGAAATCCTAACCGCCAATGTAATATTTGGAGCTCGGATTGTTGGGAGGTAATTAGGGCAAAGTAGAGAGCTTTCCTGCTCCTTCCACCATGTGAGAACACAGAGAGAAGATGGCCATCAATGAATAGAAAATTGACCCTCACCAGACATGGAAACTACTGATGCCTTGATCTGGGAATTTGCAAACTTGCAGAACTGGGAGAAATACATTTCTATTGTTTAATAAGCCTCCCAGTCTATATTTGTTGTAGCAGGCCAAACATACTAAGACAGCCAACTAGTAACTGAAGCATAAATCTGAATCATACAAAATCCTATCTGAATTAAGGTAATCCAGAAATGCCCGTGTTCCCTAGCAATCAGCTAAAACAATCATAATTCAGGTTGGAAAGAAAATATCCTCATCTAAGGTTTCAAATTATTTCTATAATTTTTATATTCAAAGTCTGACATTCAATGAAAACTGACCAAGTCAGTAGAAAAAAATGAGCATTTGAATCAAAAACTAAGAGATCACAGAAAATAAAAGCATATAAATAGGAGATTCAGAAAAAAAAGTTTATCAGACTGAGACTTAAAATATGCTTAATATGCTCAATAAAATAAAATAAAAGATTGAAAATGTTTAACAGCAAACTGGAGACCATTATAAACAACCAAATGGAAAATTTTTAACATAGAAATAAAATAACCTAAAATTAAACACCATGGATGGGTTTTACCAACAAATTACAAATGACCCACAGAAAGCCAAAAGTTAGAGAACAGAGAAAGGAGAAAAAAGAGAAAAAATATACAGTCTAACACTGTAATTGGGTTTGCAAAGGAGAGCAGAGAAAGGGGCAAGGGAATATTTAAAAAGTTAATGTTTAAAAATGTATCTGAAGAAAGGTATCAAAATACAAACATCAAGCAGAATATATTTTAAAATGCACACACACACACACACAGTTGGGCACATCAAAATAAAACTACAGGAAAACAAAGACATGAAATATTAAAAGGAACCAGTGGAAAATGACAGAATACCTCTGAGGAAGTAATAATAAAATTGACAGGTGATTTCACAATAGAAACTAAGGAAATAAAAATACAATGGAATAGTATTTTCTAAAGTCTGGAAGACAATAATCCCAATATTTAGCAAAAATATCCTTTTTTAAGAGATGAAAAAAATACACTGTTAAAATAAATAAAAATCAAGATGATCTAGCACTAAAAGACAAATTAGAGAGTAATTATAAAAGAGTATTTTTCAGCCCTGACCGGTTTGGCTCAGTGGATAGAGCGTCGGCCTGCGGACTCAAGGGTCCCAGGTTTGATTCTGGTCAAGGGCATGTACCTTGGCAGCGGGCACATCCCCAGTAGGGGGCATGCAGGAGGCAGCTGATTGATGTTTCTCGCTCATCGATGTTTCTAACTCTCTATCCCTCTCCCTTCCTCTCTGTAAAAATGTATATATATGTATTCTTCAGCTCTAGCTGGGTAGTCTACTAGTTAGAGCATCGTCCTGGGATGCCAAGGATTCAGGTTTGTCCCCAGGCACATACAAGAATCAACCAATGAATGCATAAATAAGTGGAACAACAAATCAGTATCTATCTACCTACCTACCTACCTACCTACCTACCTATTTATCTCTGTTTGCACATTCTCTCTCCCCTCTCTATGTAGCAGCCATGAGGGCCTCAGCCATGTGGACTACAACCAGGCTCCAAGTGCAAGTGGAGTACTGGATATGGAAACACAGCCCTGTGGGAGAGCAGCCAGGAGCAGAGGCTGAGCTAGCGGGATAAGGGCAGAGACTAAACTGAACTGAACCAATGGCACAGAATTTCTGGACCCTGACCTTTCCTCTGGGCTCAATGAAGACAGGGCTAGACTTGGTCCACAGCAGGACGGAGCTGAACCTGGGGCAGTCCTTTGTGTTTGCTCCAACTTTAATAAACCTTACTAGTACCACACATCCTCCCATGCGTGGTCCCCAAAATGCTTTTCTCACAAGGACCCCATTTCCACTAGCAACAAAAATACTCTATACCTTCTGAATCTATCAGCAACACAATGATTAACTGCCAAACAAAGTGAAGTAATGAAATAAATAGTGTAGGTTATATTGTTGCTGAAACGCCTCAGCTGTAAAGAAAAGGCCTGAAAAGGAATTGTTTGAGTTTGTTTAGTTTACATTTTATCATAAGAACACAGATTAACTTCTGAGAAAAACTATTTCCTAGTTTCTATAAAAAAACATTCTATTCCTTTGATTTAAAAACTACATTTTGGCAAAAATACTTCAGGAAGAAAGACCTTAAATTATTGAAGGAAACGCTTTATAGAAAAAATAATGCTGCTGGAAACCAACCCTAAGTTAATGTAAATTACATCTACTGGAACATGTAATTAACCTCATCTTATAGTTGCCCTTCATCTTATAACTAAGTAATGACAAGTTTTCTCCTTCCTCTGTAGAACTTTCATTTTCATGTACTTTCAGTGTGAGTTAAAAGTGAATCACTGCAATAATCCAGAAATCCTAGTCACACGGAGCGAACCAAAAGCTCCAGGAAATACCTTGAGAGAATGCCAGAAGGCTGTTAACCCTGGGTGTCAGCAAGAACGATAATAATTTTTTCTAAACACCAATTTACCTGCCCTAACTACAAAGGTGAAGATGAATTGGTTGGCATGCACTTGCCATTGTGAATTTAAAACACGCACCCTGAGTCCTACAAGTTCTCCTAAGGATCCAGGCAAGCATTTGTTCTCAGCCTTCAGATCTCCACCTGAGAGCATTTTAAACTCCCCAAACACCAGGTAAGTACCCCTTCCCAGAAGCTGAAAGCAGGGGCTCTAAGGAAACTGCCATTTTTTCCTACAGGCAAGAAGAAGCCCCAAGGACACCTAGTAATCGACTGCAGTATAAATAAAGATCACATCTCCTCTTTATCCAAATGTTGAAGGGAATGAAGCCAGGGCAGCTATTATATTATAAATGTTCAAATACAAAATGTATTTCCTAACCAAAGAATTATGACACTACAAAGAGGTATCTCTCAATAGAACAGTTCCAACACTCATAAAAATAATAGTGAAAGGCAGTTAATTATGATATTTTCTTTAACTCCCTGGATATCAAATATTTAGCATGTGCCATGAACTAGAGATATAGCAACCAAGACAGGAAAAGTTTCTGGTCTTATAAAATTGCCAATTCTAAAGAAAGAAAAAAGAAATAACATAGCAGTAGGGAGAAACATAGGAAGACCACTCATCACTATTTGCCCTGAGCAGTACCCTTTTACACCTATTGTTTTGGTGGAAATATTAAAAGCATGCTATTTTACTCTCAAATATTCTGGTGTAGAAAATATGAACACCCTAAAGATAATGAATGAGATAGAGATTGAGATATTGACCAAAAGGTGATGCTATTTTAGCTACACTGCTGAGAAAAGGCTTCTTTTATAATGATAAATTTGAGCAGTGACTGGAAAGAAGGGAGGGAGCAAGCATTATGTTTATCATATGAACAGCTCTTTAGAGAGTATATTTGTAGAAGTATACTGTGTGTGTGTGTGTGTGTGTGTGTGTGTGTGGGTGGGTGTGTGTAACAGAATGTAACCCTTCAGTGAGAAAGGATGAAAATCCAGTTTCAACAAAAAAGTAGAAAATTTTCATTCTCTTTCTTGCCAAAAAATGGTTCCCAGTGTATAGTTTTAGCTATAACTAATTTTATTCTGATAAATTGAAGGATTAAAACCATCTCCTTGCCCTAACTGGTTTGGCTCAGTGGATAGAGTGTCGGCCTGCGGACTGAAGGGTCTCAGGTTCGATTCTAGTCAAGGGCATGTACCTTGGTTGTGGGCACATCCCCAGTAGTGGGTGTACTGGAGGCAGCTGATTGATGTTTCTCTCTCATCGATGTTTCTAACTCTCTATCCCTCTCCCTTCCTCTCTGTAAAAATCAATAAAATATATTTTTTAAAAATCTCCTTAAAGAGAATGCCTCTCTATGAATGTAAAATACCTCTATTGTGTATTTAATATCATTGGCACTTAATATCATTTCCTATATCATAAACATATACTTCCCCAGCATCTTAGGTGATTCTGGGCCTCTGGAATTTCCTTATAGGTGTTAAATGGAACTGGTAAGTTCTCCAGTAATAACAATAATAATAACATACCTCCGATAATAAGGTACATTTTTAAGTGTTTACTGTGTGCCAAGAACCGTTGTAAGTGCTTTATCTGATACCTCAGATAAAGACTGTTTACCAAGCTGTCCAATTAAAAGGACACTAGAATCTCCTTGAGCATTTGGACCATGCTTAACTTGCTTTCAGATAACATATTCTTCATTAATGGATTTTGGATTTCAGACAAACAGACAAGCACACGTTAGTTTTGTATGTTACATATAGGAAATGATATATGTTACTCACAATTCCTGTAGAGACTAAGTGGAAATTCTGTCTCTGTTTTGCTTGCTTGTTTTAGTTTTTAGATTCAATTATTGATAGATAAGTATTTTTATAACAGAAAAATTTCAGAATGACAAAATAATTATTTCTATACTATCTAAGATACACAACTTCCCAGATACTGAGTAAAATGTTCAGGATATATTAAAACTCATATACCCACTGGCACCTAATTTCCAACTACCTAGTCTGCCACATTGAAAAACAAAATACCAAGTAATAGAACAGCTTTAAAAAAATAAGATCCAGGTTGTGAATTTTCTGGAGAAGAGTCACAAAACTACAAATTCCCTAAATGTAGGACAATGAGCCTGCCTATCCCTCTGTATACACCCAGATCCTAGCGTGGTTCTAGGTTCCATGTTTCCACATTGCTAAGTCCCAGTGTGAATGGGGGAAAGTGTGAAGGAGATGATTGACACTGATGATACCCACTATTTTTGACCTTTTCATCCACAGTTCCATATTAGAGCACAGTTACATGTTAGAACACAGTTTCATATTGGACCACAGTTACATGGTAGACCCATCTGGTGATCCCTGATCCCTAACTACAGGGATAAACAACAGAGCTTTTCATTTCATACCCAGAGCTCAAATAACTTATTCCCACGTGTATACCTTTGCATTGCTGCTCTCACAAATAGCTGTACCTTTTTACAGTTGACTCCTAGTACTTTGAAGAATTTACTGTTACCCACAACCTTGAAAACGTCTCTTTCAAATAATTTATTAACTTTAAAATGTAACTCAAATGCAAAACATTTGTATTTTAAACTACCATTACAGCAATATTCTCTTATTTATTCTCTTAATTTGCAATACACTGAGAGTAAAGACCTATTTTTGTCTGCAAGGCCAAGTTCTACCTAAATTGAATCTCTGTTCTTACATTATAAACTATCTGCATTATATTAATAAATAGTTCTCTGGAAGTATTTTTTAATCTTTATTGTTGAAAGTATTACATATTTCCTTTTTATTCCCCCACTGACCTCTTCTAGCCCGCACCCACCACTCCACCAAGGCCTTCACTGCCCTATTGTCTGTGTCAATATATGCATACTAGTATATGCATACAAGTTCTTTGGTTTATCTCTTCCCACCCACTAAGTGTTTTTGTTTTCCACAGATCAACCACAGAAAAAGAAAAAATTCCCAGCCTCTCTGTAGCACATGTATTTTTTATCATTATTTCCAGGTATATTCTAAAATTTTTAAAAAATGCTCAAGATTATAAAAATTCTTATTAAACCCAATTCAGAATTAACGAGCTTTTAAACTTTTATCCAATTCAGGATTAAAGAGCACGCTTCTAAAATGCCTTAGATCCATGATTTAAATGCAAAACATCTGTATTTTAAGCTACCATTACAGCAATCTTCTCTTATTTACTCTCTTAATTTGCAATACACTGAGAGTAAAGCCATATTTTTGTCTGCAGGGCCAGGTTCTACCTAAATTGAATTAAACTTACATTCAAGTTGTGCAACCACATCTCCAGGGTCTACTGCTTCAGGGAACACCTACAATAGAGAATGGAGAGGAAACAGGATGGAGAACAGGACGTGAAAGGCACATCTCTATAACTTATTCCCTCCTGTGCCCAACATATTCCTTTTCCACCCAAAGAAAAAAACTTTTGACATTACAGAAAACTATCACTTCTTTTCTGCTTCCATGATCACTGTGGAAGATTTCACAAGCATTACAGCTGCCTCTGCCTTCCTCTCATACTTCATCTGCTAGCGTTCTTCCCTTTTTTTGTTACCATGATAACATTGGCCTTCTTGGTGTTCCTCCAACTTATCAAGCTTATTTCCAACAGGAAGCCTTTATATTTGCTACTAGAGGCCCGGTACACGAAATTCGTGCACATTTAGGGTCCCTAGGCCTGTTGGTAATCAGGACCAATCCGTGGGGCAATTGGCAGGGTGATCAGAGGTCCCGCAGGCATTCACCTTGGCTGGCCTGGCGCCGCCTGCTCACTGGCCCCGTCCCCTGCCACTGCTGCCGGTCACCTCCCTCTGCCGGACTACTAGCAGGGCAATCAGGGGCCCCGCTCGCACCCCCCTTGGCTGGCCTGGGGTCTATGGGCTGGGGGCAGCTCCTGCATTGAGCATCTGCCCCCTGGTGGTCAGTGTGCATCATAGCATAGTTGTTCTACTGGTCATTCCACTATTTGGTTGATTTGCATATTAGGCTTTTATTATATAGGATTCCTCTGCCTAGAATTTTTTTCCTTGCCTAGACCTTCAAATAACTGATACTGTCCCATAATAGAGGCTCAGCTTAAATTTAATTGCCTTCTTTGACCACCCTTTAAAGTAGATAATCCCCTTAATCCCTCAGCCTCACTCAGTTGCTTACCCTCCCTTTATTCTTTTCGTGACACATCACTATCTAAAATTACATATTCATATGTTTACTTAATTTTGTCTGTTTCTCCTATTAAATTGAAACTCCAAGAGGGGAAGATGTTTGTCTACCCAGTGCTTTAAAGTACATGCAATAGAGCAGGTACTGGGTAATTAATTATTTGTGGAGAAAAGGAAGAAAGAAGGAAGGAAGGAAGGAAGGAAGGAAGGAAGGAAGGAAGGAAGGAAGGAAGGAAGGGGCAAGGGAAAGGAAAGGGAGAACAGAGAGAGGGAAATAGAGGCATAAATAAATTTTAAAGTGAGAAATATGATTGGTAATAACCAAAAGCAGCAGTTTTGGGGGAAGGAAGAAATGAGACTTACAGAAGGAAGTATCACAAAACAGCCATAATAAAATATGACCTGTTATTACCATCTCCTCTCTCTTTTTTATGAAAATTATTATTTAGAATTGAATATATTTGACATAAAGTTCACTATGACAATTTTAGAAATGAACTGATCCATTATAAAAAAGGTAATTGATTCAAGGTATAATATAATACATATTTATTTTCAAGCCTCCAAATTCATGTGACAAATCTTCCTTTGAATTAAATCAAAGTACATGGTCAGCAACAATAATTTGGGTTCTGGGATTTTATTCAAAGTGTGGAACTACTTTCATTTTTTGTTCATTCATTTGGATCTGAGATTTGAACTCACCTTTTCAAACACCATTCTGGCATTGAAGACCAATGGAAAAGTGGCTGGGACACATTGTGTCTTTTTATATTGGCCAAACACACAGATGCTAAGATAGATGTCCTCCTTGTCTTTAAGCACTACTCCTGGACAAGTTACCTGAAAGAAATTAGGTAGATGTATGTAACTGCTACCCACACCCCTGAATTTGGGGGCTCGCCTTATTTCTTACATAAATGAAAACAACAAAGCCCTAAAAAAGAATAGGTGATCTACTTAAAATCAAACCATAAATGAATCAACACAATACATTCAAAGTGCTTAGCACAGTACCTGACAGCATTTATTCAGTAGCACTGACAACAATTACCTGCAATATTAATAGACTATTGCATTTAATAAATGACTAAGACTTTGTGCCCTTTGTACTCAGCAGTGTACAAACTGAAAAAAATATTATAATAAAAAATATATTTCTACATGTAAATGTTCAGGCTCAAAGATATAATATTTGCAGCTGTGGGCCCTACCATAAATGGCTTTTGTGAGCTAACTGGTTCAAACTGAAAATCAAATCAAATAAAGAACAGAACCCACTAGCCATTTCTAAACAGAGGCCTCTCATACAAGTGGCACTTTGTAGAGAAGCCTGCATTGAACTGAGTAACACCTGCAATGTGTTCCTACAGTGTGAGCCAGCCCTTACAAAGAAGTTCCTGGAGTTGTATTTCAACCAATAGGACTGAGATTTCCCCCTTCCAAACAGAGCATCTTTACCCATCAATCAGCAGCTCCATTCTGAACAATCGGGACAGCACTTTTTAGAGCAATCAAAACGTGAGGATTTGGAGTCCTTATATGCATGAGGACTGACCACTCAGGACTGGGATGGGGACTTCTCTACATATGTCACCTTACCTCTGGCTTAGAAAGTACACTTTCCCTTTCCTCCAAAGATGGAAGACTTCATTTCTCCCATGTCTCCAGAGCAGAGCGGAAAGAGCCAAGCAGGGTGAGCTGTCTAGCAGGAGAGGGCCATACCTGAGTTCGCCTGGCCCTAGACCACCTCACAGCCATGCAGTTCCACAGTTGTGCTGTTTCATTATTGAGCTATAATACTATTGAGCTGTTTCACATGGACACCAGGAGATACGTACAAATATATTCACTGTAACACTGTAATATTAAAAAATCCGAAAACACTGGCATTTAAAAGTTCATCAACAGGGGGATAAAAATTAAATCACTCATAGAAACATACAGCATTACACAACAATTAAGGAAATGGGCTGGATCTGCAAGAAACAACACTGACAAATTTCAAAAACAGTCAAGTGCAAAAACAGGTTTGTAGAAGGATACATACCGTATGATTCCATTTGTGTAAAGTTTTAAACAAAACAATAGTGTAGGTAATACTTAGACATACACAAATATGTAGTAAAAATAAAAAAACCTGAATGAAAAGGATATACTCCTACTTCAGGATACTGATTACTTTAAATCTAGGAAAAAAGATCTGGAAGAGGTACAAAGGGGCCTTAACTAGATCTGTAACATCTTATGTCTTTAAAACAAAGATCTGCAGCAAACATGTAAACCATACTACTATTTGTTAAATTGGGGGGGAGGGGGGAATCACATTATTCATGGATGTGTTTTTTTCTGTAAATTTGAAGTATTTTATAAAGCATTTTTTAAAGTCTATATTCCAGGTAAATTT